ATACTATATATATATATATATATATATATATATATATATATATATATATATATATATATATATATATTTATATATATATATATATATATATATATATATATATATATATGGATTGTACCATCATGTTAAAAATCTAGTTGCTGTTTCCAACCACCAACACAGAGAGGCCTTAGCTCCAGTATGGTTTGGCAACAGTGTCCACACGCACGTGTTCATAATACCAATCCTACGTGAGATAATTAGTTCATCACATGAAAGGTATACATTAAACTCACCCAAGAAATCCCTGGCCGCCAATGACCATGACATTCTCCACGTCGACGTCATCATCGTCGTCGTCGGTTGTGTGCATGTACATGTTGCCGCTAGTTATCTCGACAGCATCGCGCGTGCGTTCACATCGTGCAAAGGTACGGGGTAGATGCTCACGATTGCGTCGGTACTTCACTACGAAGTTCCACGCGATTAAGGTGGCGGCTATGATGCCAGTAACATACCACAATGTGATGATCATTCTGCTATGATGTTGTTATGAACCTAAAGTACGTGAAGTGAGCTGTTAGTGCAGGTATTGCACTTTTAATATGAGAATTGAGAACCGACCCCGCATATCACGAGCACTATAGATGCTTTCGTGTGTATGCGTGTGATAGTGTATGTGTGTGCGTGTGTTTGTTTGTGCTTGTGCGCATTCCTTGCACCATAGATACGGCTGAGATTACCCTTGCCGTAATTGTTCGTCCTTTAATATGTAACTTACATAAGTGACATGTAGCTCTATAATAGTCCAAATACACTACACAACAAACATACGAGATATCTGTTAGCCAATGAAGTACGACTTTAACAAATATATATAGCCACAACGCACCAACATATCGAACTCATTTGTAGTCCATATTATTATTTTGATCAATTAAATTAATCAATTCAAAATACAGACAATTAAACTCTTCTGATAAACTGATCCACCAATAGCTATCGCTTAATCCACACCTCAACTGTTCCTGTCGCCTCGAACCAGTGATAACTAACATATGTAAAGCACATAGCCACACTTGAACCAATCATATCCACCCAACCAAGATTACGATCAATCCGAATTGTCAGCCGAGTGCCGACTCTTCCCAAATATGAATTTACAGGGGGCAATTGTGCATAATAGTGTCAAAAGCGACGCTCCCGTAACCCAATGTGACACCATTCGCCCGAGTATGTTGCCACTGTACTGCTAGTAGTAGGGGCTGGGTCTCTACTACTTTTAGTAGTAGGGAGTAGGGGCTGGGTCTCTATGTGCTAGTAGTATGGACTGGGGGCCGGGGTGCAAAACTGTGGAAATCACACTTTGGTTTTGGTCAACGGAGGTCTTGTGCAATAAAATGCATGTGGCTACATATGTATGAATCCATTGTTTGTCCGCCTCTCGCTCCCTTACTCTATATTTATATATATGCATGTATGTATAGGCGTGAATATAGGTGTAGTAGAGATATTGCTGTCAAGTGTTGAGAGTTACAAATAGTAAGTTAAGGTCCTTGCCTACACGTGCACAGGTTGATCAGTCGGGATAAGGATGGAGGATTATTCAGACGCCCCTACGGGTGCTGTAGAGGGAGATGACGTTCAGAATACAATCGCCGTCTCTAATGATTCAAGTAAGTTTTAATACGCGCTAGATATAGTTGTGTATAATGCCCAGTTCGTGTTTGCTACACCACACTTTCGGTACTGCGCATGTGGTTGAGTATAAGTCCAACTATGGCCGTAAAGTGTTGTGTATTCCTATCGATCTGTTGGTTAGCCAATAGTACCATAGTTGGGGCATACATGCTGTCCATATTGCATTCTATGGACCTTTATGTAAGTACCTCATGAGCTTACGAAAACCATATTAAAATTGATCTGGGGTAGTTTTTGTGTGGTAATATCCATACACTTACTGTGCGTATGCCTGCTCAGATGTTGCTGTCGTAGGCAATGTCCTTTGACTGTACTTACATGCGCGATGAAATATGTTTACAATAACAGTCCGTATCAGGGCTCAATAATACATGGGCTTAAAACTGGCAATCAATAATTTTACAAGACCTTTTTGGCGCATATATATATATATATATTATGTGTATGTGTGAATGTGTCTATGTGGGTCTATGCGTGTATATACGTGTGTTTGTATATTATATATATATGTGTGTGTGTGCGTGCGTGTGTGTTTGTATATA